CTTAAGGTGTGAGCTTCAATGAAAGTAATTGGACAGATTTCTTGTGAAAAGGACCGACAAGGAACATCACTTACTACAAGGAGATTAAGAATAGAGAAAAATAAAATGAAATAAAAGTCTACTGCAACAGAAAAGAAATTTGCTCTTCCATAACAGAAAATGAGATGAATCAATCCCATGACGATCCCGGAAAAGGGAAATGCGAAATCCAAAAAACGGAAGAGAAATATAGAAACTAAATGGAGATGAAGCAGAAGTCAAAAGAAAAGTTTTTCCTCTTCTTCTTCTTCCTCCTCCTCCTCCTCCTTCTGACCTTCATCACGCGAGGAGTCGGGACATAAACACAGCAGTCCATAGATCCGTGATGCAAAAATGCTCGGTCTATCATTTAAGATTTTTTTCGGCGAGCGCCTTACATGGTTACACGGCGATTCGTAAATTCGTCATCGCTATTTCGTCTTATATGCACTATGGAGAAGAAAGAATGGTTATGCTGATACTGAAGAATAGTTTAAACATATCGATTTTTTGAAAATATATGCATTCATTTTTATAGGGATCGTGAATATTTACAGAGGAAAGATATGAATATGTATATATATATATATATATATATATATATATATATATATATATATATATATATATATATATATCAAACGAAAATTATATTATATATAACTTTTTCACGCACATAAAAAGATAAAGAAATATTCGCAAAGAAAACACGTAACTTGAGGCGGTTTGGCGGGCAGAGTAGTGACGTAATTTAAGGTGGTATTTTACGTAATACCAGGAAAAAAGGAATATGTATGTTGTTACAGTATATGATCATGGTTTTCTTTTATTCATTTCCCATTGTTTGTGCAAGTATCACCATTTCCTTTTTCGGGCCATAAGTATAACATTCGCATAACGAAATTTTATGTGAAAGGTAATGTAGCCTAGATCCAGCCTGCTCTTGCCTCCCCGGTGGAGCCCCGCCCGCGTCCCGAGCGGGGCCGCGGCTGGCGTTCGAAGGCCGTCCGACCGCGCGAGGGGGGCTGGCAGCACCAAAGGCTCGTGTGGAGTTCCTGAACGCAAAACAGGAGTAGAAAATGGTTCACTTGCTTTAGAGATACATCGTAGCCAGAGGGTTCTGACTCTAGGCATTATACGCTTTGACTCAAAAATGACTTATTGTAGAATTAGTGTGAAATAGAATAAAATCATCAGTATACAAAGATGCTCCCAACTATTTAGAATTATGCTGAAGGTAATTCAGTATCTCGGTGTCTTTCTTAAGAATGAGTATCGAATTCCGTTAGTTCATCTGCTATTTTTGCATCCCTGGATGAGCACACGCAAGCTGTTGCTCACTTGATATCGGGCTTAACTCTTTCGGAAAAGTGAAACCTGCATCACTTCCTACTGTTCATTGTTAACAAACCTCAGTATGCCGACACACACACAAGATATGAATATTTTTAGCAAAGCAACAAAACTTGGATAATTAATCAAAAAAGCAGTTAAACATGCGCGTCGTGAAGTTAATATCCCTACAAAGTCTTCAAAATATCTTTCTTTCCATTGTTGTCCGAAAGAGGAATCTTATTGTCTTTGAGCCGCCGTTCGCTTTGTCATCCCCGCGACCAGGCGTTCCTCACTTGTGTTCTAGGGATTTCGTCCTTATCAGGATGTGTGTACATGCATCTGAGTGGGTTCGGGTGTGTGAGCGTGTGCGTTTGAGAGAATATATTTGATGTGCGTGCTTGTCTGTGTGTGCGTGGTGTGTGTGTGTGTGTGTGTGTGTGAGTGTGTGTGTGTGTGTGTGTGTGTGTGTGTGTGTGTGTGTGTGTGTGTGTGTGTGTGTGTGTGTGTGTGTGTGTGTGTGTGGTGTGTGTGTGTGTGTGTGTGTGTGGTGAGAAGAGTGAGAGAGAGAGAGAGAGTGTGTGAGTGTGTGTGTTGTGTGTTGCTAATTTCAAACAGGCCTTGCATTCAGCCATCCCTCAAGCACGTCACGCGCGCCACAAAGAGGAGCTCTGGCACGCGGGAACATCCGCGCAAAGAACCAGTTACCAAATTCGATCAAGATATTCGTTTGTCAAAATACATTATCCTGGAAGTCTAACTGAAAAAAAAAGAAGAAAATAAGTCGACTGGAAGGGACGGGCACTAAATAATGTTCAACATTGCTGTCGCTGCAAATAAGTTCAAAGCTGAAGTTGCAGGTTAAGAAAAGATAAGTTCCCTCGACTCCGCCCAGCCAACATCTGACCCCGCGGTGGAGTGACGATATGAAATTCAGATTTTTGCACCGTGATCATGTATTTATATTTTTAGACACTAACAAAGCAATAAACAATTTCACACCGAATCGTCCGCCTTATGTAGCGTAAAAGAGACATAAACAGACATACGCATATATAAATAGACATTCATATATTTAGACAGACACTCACGGAATCTATAAATATGCATCCCAACCTACTGTATTTAGAACTGTAAACAAAGGATCAGGCAAACTAAGGGTATATGTGCCTACTGCCTGATAATTCGCACTGCACGTAGTCATGATCCTGCGCCTAGCCCACAGGTACAAACAGCTTGCCTTAATTCAAGTCGAAAGCTTTAGTCATGCAGCACAGCATCCCTGTCATAGGATCCGATGAGTGCGGGCGTCCTCGGGCAAAAGGAGTTAGCTGCTTCTGTCATTAGGCTCAAGTTTCAACTCAGATATTGCTTTATTTGATACTCGCTTGGTGTACTTTACTTGCCTTTGGGGCACTCTCCGGGTTGGGCCTTTGGGGCACTCTCCGGGTTGGGCCTTTGGGGCACTCTCCGGGTTGGGCCTTTGGGGCACTCTCCGGGTGGGGCCTTTGGGGCACTCTCGGTTGGGGCTTTGGGGCACTCTCCGGGTTGGGTGGGCCTTTTGGGGCACTCTCGGTGGGGGCCTCTTTGGGGGGGCACTCTCCAACTCTCCGGGTTGGGCCTTTGGGGCACTCTCCGGGTTGGGCCTTTGGGGCACTCTCCGGGTGGGGCCTTTGGGGCACTCTCTGGGCCTTTTGGGGCACTCTCCGGGTGGGGCCTTTTGGGGCACTCTCTGGCCTTTGGGGGCACTCTCCGGGTGGGCCTTTGGGGCACTCTCCGGGTGGGCCTTTTGGGGCACTCTCCGGGTGGGGCCTTTGGGGGCACTCTCCGGGTGGGGCCTTTGGGGCACTCTCCGGGTGGGGCACTTTGGGGCACTCTCTCCGGGTGGGGCCTTTGGGGCACTCTGTTGGGCCTTTGGGGCCTTTCTCTCCGGGTTGGGGCCTTTGGGCACTCTCCGGGTGGGGCCTTTGGGGCATTTGGGCCTTTGGGGCACTCTTGGGGGCCTTTGGGGCACTCTCCGGGTTGGGGCTTTGGGGCAACTCTCCGGGTTGGGCCTTTGGGGCACTCTCCTCCGGGTTGGGCCTTTGGGGCATCTCGGGTGGGGCCTTGGGCCACTCTCCGGGTGGGCCTTTGGGCCACTCTCTCCGGGTGGGGCCTTTGGGGCACTCTCCGGTGGGGCTTTGGGGGCACTCTCCGGGTGGGGCCTGTTGGGGCACTCTCCGGGTGGGGCCTTTGGGCACTCTCCGGGGGGGCCTTTGGGGCACTCTCCGGTGGGGCCTTGGGGGCACTCTCCGTGGGGCCTTTGGGGCACTCCTCCGGGTGGGGCCTTTGGGCACTCTCCGTGGGGCCTATTTGGGGCACTCTCCGGGTGGGGCCTTTGGGGCACTCTCCGGGTGGGGCCTTTGGGGCACTCTCCGGGTGGGGCCTTTGGGGCACTCTCCGGGTTGGGCCTTTGGGGCACTCTCCGGGTTGGGCCTTTGGGGCTCTCCGGTTGGGCCCTTTGGGGCACTCTCGCGGGTTGGGCTTTGGGGCACCTCTCCGGGTTGGGGCCTTTGGCATCTCTCCGGGTGGGGTCTTTGGGGCACTCTCCGGGTGGGGCCTTCGGGCCTCTCGGGTCGGGCCTTTGGGCCACTCCTCCGGGTGAGGGCACTCTTGGGCCACTCCTCCGGGTGGGGGGCTTTGGGGGCACTCTCGGGTCCGGGTGGGGCCTTTGGGGCACTCTCCGGGTTGGGCCTTTGGGGCACTCTCCGGGTTGGGCCTTTGGGGACTCTCCGGGTTGGGCTTTACTCTCCGGGTGGGGAGCACTCTCCCGGGTGGGGCCTTTGGGGCACTCTCCGGGTGGGGCTTTGGGGCACTCTCCTCCGGGTGGGGGCTTGGGGACTCTCCGGGTTGGGCTTTGGGCACTTTCCGGGTTTGGGCCTTTGGGGCACTCTCCGGTGGGGCCTTTGGGGCACCTCGGTTGGCCTTTGGGGCACTCTCCTTTGGGGGTCTCCGGTGGGGCCTTTGGGCACTCTCCGGGTTGGGCCTTTGGGCACTCTCGGGTGGGGCTTTGGGCACTCTCCGGGTGGGCCTTGGGGGGTTGGCCTTTGGGGCACTCTCGGGTGGGGCCTTTGGGCACTCTCGGGTGGGGCCTTTGGGGGCACTCTCCGGGTGGGGCTTTTGGGGCACTCTCGGGTGGGGCCTTTGGGGCACTCTCCGGGTTGGGGCCCTTTGGGCACTGGGCCTCCGGGTGGGCCTTTTGGGGCACTCTCCGGGTGGGCGCTTGGGCAACTCTCTCGGGTTGGGGCCTTTTGGGCACTCTCCGGGTTGGGCCTTTGGGGCACACCACTTCCGGGTGGCTTTGGGGGCACTCTCACGGTTGGCTTTGGGCCTCTCCGGGCGCTTTGGGCCTTTGGGGCACTCTCGGGTGGGGCCTTTGGGCACTCTCGGGTGGGCTTTGGGCACTTCTCCGGGTGGGGGGACTCTCCGGTGGCCTTTGGGCACTCTCCTGGCCTGGGCGGGTGGGGTCTTTTGGGGCACTCTCGGGTGGGGCCTTTGGGGCACTCTCCGGTGGGGCTTTTGGGCACCTCCGGGTGGGGCGCTTTTGGGGCACTCTCCACGGTCGGGGCTTTGGCGCACTCTCAGCGGGTGAGGGGACTTTGGGCAGTCTCGCGGTGGGGCCTTTTTGGGCACTCGTCCGGTTGGGCTTTGGGGGCACTGCTCCGGTTGGGCCTTTGGGGCACTCTCCTGGTTGGGCCTTTGGAGCACTCTCCCGGGTGGGGCCTTTTGGGCACTCTCCGGTGTGGGCCTTTGTTGGCCACTCTCCGGATTGGGCTTTGGGGGCACTCTCGCGGGTGGGGCCATTTGGGGGCACTCTCGGGTTGGGCGCCTTTGGGCACTCTCCCGGGTTGGGCCTTTGGGCACTCTCCCGGTTGGGCCTTTGGGGCACTCTCGCGGGTGGCCCTTTGGGCCACTCTCCGGGTGGGCTGCCCTCTCTCTCTCTCTCTCTCTTCTCTCTCTCGCTCTCTCTCTCTCTCTCTCTCCTCTCTCTCTTCTCTCTTCTCTCTCTCTCTCTCTCCCTCTCTCTCTCTTCTCTCGCCCTCTCTCTCTCTCTCTTCCCTCTCTCTCTCTCCTCTCCCTTCATTCTCAGATTTTTCTTGTCCTTCCTTCTGTTATTCTCGTCCCTCCTTCTCTCGCTTCTCTTCTCCTTCTCGTTCTCGTGCCTCTCTCTCCTCTCTCTCTCTCTATCTCTCTCGTCTTCTCATCTCTCTCATCTCTCTCCTCTCGTGTCATCATCTCTGCTCATCTCTCTCTCTGCTTCTCTCCCCCCCCTCCCTCGCCTCCCTCCTCCCTCAACATCCATCATCCATCCAGCCATCTCCATCCATACCATCCTCATCCATAACCAATCCATCCCTCTTCGTCCTCCTCCCTCCTCCTCCTCCTCCTCCTCCCTCTCTCATGTCTCGGTGCCTTCTCTCCTTTCTGCTCCTTCTCTCCTTTCTGCTCGGCTTCTCCTCCTTACTCCGACACCTCTCTCCATCTCACGTAGCTCACTCTCTAGTCCTCTCTCCCCTCTCTCCGCGGCGCTCTCCCTGTTCCCTCCTCCCTCCCTCGCAGTTCCGCCTCCTCTCCGATCTCCCTCTCTCGTCCTCTCTCCTTCCCCATCCCTCTTACTCTCTCTTCTCCTCTCCCTCTCCCCTTCCCGTCTCCCTTTCTCTCTCTCTCTCTCTCTCTCTCTCTCTCTCTCTCTCTCTCTCTCTCACTCTCTCTCTCTTCTCTCTCTCTCTCTTTCTTTCTTTCTTTCTTCTCTTCTCAAAATGAAATAGATATTGACTTGAATCATTCTGCAGGGAAAAAGTGTATCCCAGTTTTCTCGCGCATGGAAATGAGCGCACATGCGAGTGAGTACAAGGCCTGACAAAGAAGACAGAACAGGGCATTAGCACAGCAAGTCCTTTTAGCCCTAAAGAGCACGCTGAACATTTCCAGGGATACTAAGGTCAGAGCTTATCTTTTATTTTATAGTTCGAGACGAGAGGTTCCATTTGGTTTGACTGCCCGTTGCTTGCTCTCTCGTTCGGCCCTCCTGACTAATTCACCCTCGTTCATGCTGGCTCTGCGGGAAGTTTTCTTTTGTCTTCGAGTTTTGGGGGTTTGGTCTATTTTTGTTGTTGTTGATGATGTTTTTTTGTCGTTGATGTTTTTTGTATTTGTTGTTTGATGATGTTCTATGTTTTTGTTGTTGTTGTTTCCCCCTTAAGTTTGCAGTTTTCTACGGCTTTGTTTGGAGGTTTTTTCACAAACAAATTTCATATTTATGTTGGGAAGCGTAATGGTTATATCAGAGATATAATTTTGTTATCCTGACCATGCAATATTCAGCGTTTTATCATCAGTATTATTGTAATCATTGTTATCATTAGTATTAGCCTTATCAATTCTACTATCGTTATTATTATTATTATTATATTGTTATTCACATTTCTATCATTGTTAGTAGTAGTAGTAGTATTACAATAATTGTCAGTTATTATTAACTATCTGTTCACTGATGACAAACTACAGTATTCCTAAATTAATTCTATCTATCGCGTCTGAAACCTCATTTCTTGTCCGTGTTAGATTTACAATAATTTTACGTGCTATTATACTTGCGCGAGAAGTAATTTCTTTTCCCGTTATAAGGTTTGATTCTCTGTTACACTCCCTCCTTCTCTTAATAAGAATAAACGCATTTGCGATCGTGTGCGGACTGCCAGTAATTAAAATAATGTCGGTGATATCCAATGCAGATTCTATATGTTCCATAAATTCCATATGCTGAGTAATGTCGTCTTGTAAAATTGGCTGCTTTGATTTTATTACTCATCACAAAGTTGTCATAAAACCTAATAGGCGCTAGAATAACTAGGCTTCTTACTAAATAATAATAATAATAATAATGATAATAATAAATAAAAAGATACCCGTGCCCCTATAAAAAGACGTTCGTTTGAAATTCTGTCGCCACTTCTCCTTTCATACTGTCCAAGTACCCAAGGCCCCCCCCCACCCCCACCCCCCTTGCGCAACAAGGAACCTCCATAAAGCACTCAAACCACGCCCCCACACCCCAGACCCCCCTCCCCAACCCCAGCTCCAGCAACCCTCATGGACCGTCGCCTGGAGAGAGCTGATGCCCCACGTGACCTTGATGGCGGTTTCCCCACGTCATGATCGCCTTTTGTTGGGCCGAGAATCTCCTCCGCTCTAAAGGACCTGTCGGGGCAGCCTTGCACGGGTCGGGATGCGCTGAGGGAGGCGCCAGACCCGCAGTCTATGACCCTTTTATCGGCGATGCTGAGTCGGCCCGGGGGGGGGGGGGACGCTGTTACGTGGATCTGCGCGCGTCTGTCTCCCTTCGCCCGTGCTATGTTGGAAGTTGATAACGGCAGTGATAGTGGATGTAATAAGAGGGTATCGTCATGCGTATGAACATGGTTAAAAGCATATCAAGCGCCGTTCATTCAAAATATTCTCTCTTTTCAGTTTCATCTTCTTTATAAATCTTAAATAGCCTGGAGATGCCCACTTATCAGCGAAGAAAACATGTTTCTATTAGGATCAATAATTATATTCAAAATTTCAAAAGTTAACAGGAACACACAACACTATAAAAATACAAATGTTAATCAGAGGCTTGATGACACTTTGTTATATTCATTTTTTATTTGCAGCTGTCACGGTGCGCTACCTGACCCGAAGGTACATCGGGGAGTATAGCTCTCGAAACGGTGAGTGTCTTTTATTATCTCTCTCTCTCTCTCTCATCTATGTCATTTCTATTTCTATTTCATTTCTTCTCTCTCTTCTACTGTCTCGTCTCTCTCTCTCTCTCTCTCTCTCTCTCTCTCTCTCTCTCTCTACTCTCGTCTCTCTTTTCTCTCTCTCTCTCTCTCTCTTCTCCTCTCTCTCCTCACTTCTTTCGATGCCTCTCTCTTCTCCTCATCTCTCTCTCCTCTCTCCTCTCTCTCCTCTCGCGTCTCTTCGTCTCTCCTCTCTCAGTCTCTTCCTCTCTTCTCCCTTTCCTCTTTCTCTCTCTCTCTCTCTTCTCTGTCTCTCTTCATCGTCCTCTCTCGCGTCTCTCTCTCTAGTTCAGCTCTTCTTCTCTCTCTCTGCCTCCCTCGCTCTCTTCTCTCCATCTCTCTCTCTCTCTCTCTCACCTCCTCTCTNCAAAATGAAAATAGATATGACCTTGACTCATTCTGGCAGGAAAAAGTGGTATACCCAGTTTTCTCGCGCACTGCGAAATAGCGCACATGCGAGTGCGTACAAGGCCTGACAAAGAAGACAGAACAGGGCATTAGCACAGCAAGTCCTTTTAGCCCTTAAGAGCACGCTGAACATTTCCAGGGATACTAAGGTCAGAGCTTATCTCTTTTATTTATAGTTCGAGACGAGAGGTTCCATTTGGTTTGACTGCCCGTTGCTTGCTCTCGCGTTCGGCCCTCCTGACTAATTCACCCTCGCTCATGCTGGCTCTGCGGGAAGTTTTCTTTTGTTTTCGAGTTTTGGGTTTGGTCTATTTTCGTTGTTGTTGATGATGTGTTTTTTTGTTGTTGTTGTTGATGTTTTTGTGTTTTGTTGTTGATGATGTTCTATGTTTTGTTGTTGTTGTTTTTCCCCCTTAAGTTTGCATTTTCTACGGCTTGTGTTTGGAGTTTTTTCACAAACAAATTTCATATTTCTGTTGGGAAGCGTAATGGTTATATCAGAGATATAATTTTGTTATCCTGACCATGCAATATTCAGCGTTTTATCATCAGTATTATTGTAATCATTATTATCATTAGTATTAGCCTTATCAATTCTACTATCGTTATTATTATTATCATTGTTATTACCCATATTTCTATCATTGTTATTTTAGTAGTAGTATTACAATCATTGATTGTTACTATTAACTATCTGTTCACTGATGACAACTACAATATTCCTAAATTAATTCTACTCAGCGCGTCTGAAACCTCATTGTCAATTTCTTGTCCGTGTTCGCATTTGCGAATAATGTTTACGGTGCTATTATACTTGCGGCGGACGAAGCTAATTTCTTTTTCCCGAGTTTAGCATGTTGGTTCTCTGTTTACACTCCCTCCTCTGCTTAGATAAGAATAAGACGCATTTGCACTGTAGGCGGAACTGCCGGGTAGTTAATTCACAAATATGTCGGTGGCTATATCCAAACGTGCGATCATATTGTTCCATAAATTCCAGTATGGCTGGGAGTAATGGTGCTCGTCTTGTAAAAGTAGGCTGGCTGTCTAGGATTTTGATTAGACAGATCATCACAAAGTTGTCATAAACCTAATAAGACGCGATAAATAACTAAGGCTTTTACTAAAATGAATGAGATGAAAAATAATAAGGTGAGATCAATAATCATAACCGCAGACATCAAAAGATACCGATGCCACATATAACAAAGACTCCTTCTCCGTGTTGGAGGCCAATTTCTGTCGCGCAAAGACTGTACTCCTTTCGATACTGTCCAAGTCACCACGCCCACCCAGCCCCACCCCGCAGCCTCTTTGTCGGCCGGCGCATCTCGGGCGACCTCCATCACGCTCGCAACCACGGGAACCTCCAACATAGCTGACTCAATAACCAAACGGCCACCCATACCCCCGAC